TAGTTGCCAAAATCTTCAGAACTACTCGCAAGTGCTCAAGATGATCTGCCCATGTTTTTTAATACACCAAGATATCATCAAAGAATACCAACACAAACTTACGGAGATACTCCTTAACAATCGAGTTCATGGCAAATTGAAATGTCGACTGTGCATTGCACAACCCAAAAGGCATTACGAGGTCTTCGTAGTGCCCTTGGTGCGTGTGAAAGGCCGTCTTTGGCACGTTGCTCTTGGCCAATCTGATCTGGTGGTAACCCGCGTGCAAATCAAGTTTCAAAAAGAAGCGTGCACCTACCAGCTCGTCCAACATGTCGTCGACACTCGGTATAGGGAAACGGTCCTTCACGATCGTCGCATTGAGTGCGCGGTAGTCCCTGAAAAACTGCCAAGTGCCGTCCTTCTTCTTTTCGAGCAACACCGGCAACAAAAACGGGCTTATGCTGTGTTGAATGAGCCCAGACTCGAGCATCTCGCCCACTTGTCGCTCGATCTCTGCCTTTTGGAAGTGCGCGACCCGATACGGATGCACGTGCACTGATCGTCCTTCCTCGACCAAAGGAATTCAGTGGTCGAACTCCCGATGCGGTGGCAATCCCTTAGGCTCGCTTAGGACTTGATCGACTCCTCGAGCAAGTCACGCACCTCGCTCTGCCTCTCTTCGATCATCCCCGTGGCTTGCCCCGTCTGCTCGACCACGACGGAAAATAACTGTCCACCACCTCGCCACACCTTCTCAATATTCTTAAGTCCAACCTCCTTGGCCGATCCTTCGTTTGCTTTCAAGGTGACCAGTCGATCACCAGTCTCGAACTTCATTACGCCCTTCCGGTAATTGGTCATCACGTCACTAAGCCCTTCGAGCCATTGCACACCAAGAACCACATCCGGCCCTAGCAGTGGCAAGGCAAACAAGTCCGCATTCACCGCTACTCCTTGGAATTTGATTGGCACGCCTTGGTACACCTCCGAGCACCGCAAACGCTCACCATTGGCCACCCGCACCTCGAATGGCTCGACCGCGGACGTGGGTAATTTAAGCTTATGAGATAGCATCGCATTAATGAAGTTGTGCGACGACCCATTGTCCACGAGCACAGTCACTCGCCAGTCCTTCACCCACGCCGGCAAACGCATCGTCCTCGGGCCCCTGGTGCCTCTCATGGCATGCACAGAGATCTAGGCCTCATCATCGAGCACCTCGACCTTCTCCACTTCCCTTTCTTCCGCAACCTCCGGCTCCTCATCACCTGAGTCAACAAACTCGATCAGAAAATTTTGCTTACATTGATGACCCGGGGTGAACCTTTCCTTGCACTTAAAGCACAGCCCCTTCTCACGCCTCTGAGCCATCTCTTCGAACGTTAATCGCTTGACCTCTGGGATACGGGGTCTAAGGTCGCTCGTCGGTCTAACAACCGTATTGAATGTGCTCGAGCTGATCAGTTCCCGACGCGGTTCCGGGGCACGGAGATCCGCCCGTCCCCTTCACGT